GATTAGAAAGAAAACAAACCAGCGGTTAGACAAAATGTGTAGCTATGGAAACAAAAGTGACTTGCCCAGTAATTGTTGAGCTAGCGAGTATCAGCAGACTCTTCTGATTTCAGGTCAATATTCTCCTGCACCTTTCCCATTGCTTGGATGCTGAATAGGGTTACATCAGATAGGAGGATGGAGCAGTGGACTGTGTTTGTTTTAGAGTCAGGAAGGCCTGGGTTCAAATCCTGCATCTGACACTTTACCAACTCTGTGACCTTAGGCAAGTCACTTAACTTTTCCAAACTTACATTTCCTTATCTGTAAAGCTGAGACAATAAAATATGTAGGACCTAAGCCTGGAAGTGGTTGTGAGACTCTAAAAGGTATTTAAAAATACTTTGCAAACCTTAGAGGGCCACACAAATGTCAGTGGTTATGATGAGACACTCATTACCAGGTTTTTCACCCCAAAGACTCTGCCTTTTTAATTGATAACCTTCCAGCAGCTTCATTGACTGTCTATTAAACCAGCCTCTCCCAGTACCCTTCTTGCTTTCTAATCATTCCGTACCTGCAGCATAGGCCAAACACGTTGGGGAACAGTTGGGGAGATATCAAATCTTCAGCTACGTTTATTGACCTTTAAGGTACACCACCCAGTTTTGGGCTTTCTGACTGTTCTGTGCCTGATCCAAGAATAGCTCTAGGGGATTAGCCCTCAGGATGTGGCATTTTATAATTCTATTTTTACTTTTTTTTGAGTGTGTGAGGCAGTCGGGGTGAAGTGACTTGCCCAGGGTCACACCGCTAGTAAGTGTCCAGTGTCCGAGGCCAGATCTGATTCAGGTCCTCCTGACTCCAGGGCTGGAGCTCTATCCACTGCACCGGCTAGCTGTGGCATTTTGCTGGTGTATAAGTCTGTACCGAAGGGGAGGCCCACTGTGGGAAGATCAATAGCAGTATTAAGAAGCTGAATGTAGGAGACATTTTCCTAGATACCAAGGCACAAGTGAATTGATGTGAACACAGGTGCCAGAATCTCCACATTTCAAAATACTGACTAAGCAACAGGGCACATAATCAAGCTTCTTCCCTTGTTGATCTGAAGTGTGTTGCCACAGAGACTTGTAGGGTCAGTCAGAGTTCTCTTCCTCTTTCTTCTCCTACCTCTATCCGGCACAGGTTGGTAGCCCCGTGCGTTTCAGTGTTTCCTGCCAATCATTATAGAGCTGCAGAACATAGACACCTCCCATCCCGTTCAATCTAGAAGAATCTTTTACCATCATCATCTGAAAGTGGCCATGGTAAGTTATGCTGTGAACTCCCCCCTGGACTGTCCTGAAACATTCAACACCCACAAATCCAATTTTGTCAGTGTGAACACCTCTGTTATCTCTAAAGGCAAAGTTAGAGGCATAAAGAAGGTCAACATTCCCCCACTCACCCACCCCAGGATAGTCCAGGGAATGAGCTGCAAAACTTCTCACTGAAGAATGAGATGCCCTAGCACCGCCACCGCCTTTGCTCAACTCATCACAGAAAAGAAATAAGGACAGGAAAGTGTGATTACGCAGAATAAAAGTCAAGAAAATTATTTCTCTCTTCCAGTGGGCTGGGAGAGGGATTAAATGAGCTTTGAAAGAGTAAAGATTACAGCACCTGTTTCATTATAGGGACATATATGGCACTGAGAATTCTCCAGGGGGAACCATTAGTTCCACACTACCCTCTCTTTCTCTCTGAAGGTTAATGTCTGTAGGAAAAGCCTTTTCCCCTGGAAGGGTAGTGGTTCACACCTTTGCTGCTGGAGATCTAGACTTCCCAGGATCCTTACTTTGGTGGTGTTGAGGGAATTTTCTATTAAGCATCAGGGATATAGAAGTACTATTTGTTTCAACCAGTCCCCTGTACCAGAAACAAACCTCTCTGGTCCACTATTATGGAAGAGTAAAAGTCACTTTCCCCTGATTGTCAGGGTCTGCTACCCCCTTTGCCATAATAGTTTAGATGTTAATCCAGATGTTAAGATCCACTACAAATAGCCTGAAGATGTCAACTGCCATTTTAGGTGTATCCTTAGGATAATATATGAGGAATGGGCACCCTTCCCTAAGGGCACTGAGTTTGGGGGTTCACACGGGCTTGCTGGGGGTAGGAGAGGTAACCCTCATCTCCCCACCATTGATCAGCAAATGCTTTCTAAATGTATGAATCTGCTACCATATAGTGGCCTCATGGACGGAACAAAAAATGCCTCACTCAAAACTTATCCAATTTGAGCCACATTTATCGAACGATGTTTAGAGTCATGAATAACTGGGTTGTAGATGATGGGGCCAAGAATATGGCTACTTATTCTCCCAATGTTCCCCTGTATAAAAATTCTCTTATTTTTCCTGTGGGGTTTTCAAGTATTCCATCCACTGGTGACCCAGCCCACATGAAGCACAAATGGGGAAGCCAGCTTGTAAGATAACAGCAGCAAAAATAGCTGTTTTCCTTTCTCCTCATGTATGGGAAAAGTCTCATCTCTGATGTAGGTTGTGTCTCAGCTTTTCCTTCTTCCAAAATTGATATCTTGTTGGGTTCAGATGTCGAATGCCAAACTTTGACTTTGGATTCCAATGGATGTAAGAAAAAGAGATTATTAGAACATTTAGAAACAAAGTAACAGAAAGAAAGTACAGAAGTCATCTAGTACAAGTAGTTTCTAATTTTTCCTAAAATAGTTTTATATTAAAGAAATATAGAAGCTTGTTCCTACAGTATCTATACAAAATTTCTTCATCTACTTTGGAAATCCTACAACGAACTTGGTCAGAAATCAGGTTCTTAACCTTCTTCTGACTTTGAAAAAGAAGAGAAATAGTGGTGGGAAGGGGAAGGAAGAAAACTTGAGGAAGGCATTGGAGACATCAGCAAAGGAACTTTTACAGGAAGTTGTTACCCTATCTATTCACATGTGTGTAGATCATAGAGAAGCAGTTTGGGCTGGTGAATAAGAAAGCCAGCTCTGGAGGGAGCTTCACATGCAGCCTGCCGAGTGACCCTGGGCCAGAATACTTCTTAGTATTTTAGAGATCTCTTTAAGATTTTAAGTTACGAAGAAAGGTGTTGACCTACATTGGTAGAGGGATTTCCTCGTTTGAGACTTCCCTATTTCAAAGAAATCCCAGGTGTAGTCCATTTCTCTATGAATATCTATGCATTTTCATGTAAAATATATAGTATATATATATGTATATGTATATATGTGTGTGTATGTATGTATATATGTATGTATATATGTGTGTGTGTGTATACACACACACACACACACACACACACACACACACGTTCATCTTTTTAATCGGAAGTCAAGCTCTGAGGTCCCTGTTTGAATTTTGAAAAGCAAGTAAAGACATAATGTTACTAATTATAGGTTGGTTTGTTGTTTCTTCTTCTTTGCTAAGCAGGCATCTTCAAGAAAACCAGTTGCTCAGAAGGGAAAAGGACAGCCCTGAGACATATGGACTTGAACAAAGGGATTTTTTAAATACTTGCTCCCTCACTAATAATTCTGTGCATGTAATCCAGGAGGCTATTTGGAAAGCCAGGGCACATGGCTGTGTTTTAAATGATAACGATACCTTACATTTCTATTTGGAGCAGTAAGTGACAGGAGCAGGGGTATGCCGGTAAATGTTTAACAACCAGCCTTCCCCTTCCCCAGTGTATCACTGTATACTTTTAAGTTTAATCTCCATTATTAACACTTTATCACTTTCTTAAGAATAGACAATCAATGAAACATCAAGGTGTGAAATGCAGTGTTTGCTGATTTCTGCAGTGTACATGCTCCCATTAAAAATTTAGTAATCTGTTCTTGAGAACTTCTCCAGCACACCCCTGGTAGAAGTCATATAGGAGGAGAGGTAGATGACAGCTTCCTTTCCCAAAGCTTTAAGGGCAGAGCTGGGAAAAAAAAATAGAGGCTTCTTTAATAGGACAGGATACTGAAAGTCTGGCATCAATTGGTTAAAATTATTTGTTCTGGGCTCAGACTTGAAGTGTTTGGTATGGGAACTTGGAGACCTTGGCGCAGACCTTGGGAGAACCCAGTCAATCCCATATTGTGATGCAAAGTGACTACATACAGCAGATGCTCAGTAACTTCTAGAGTGAAAAAAGTGAATGTCCTTGCCTGAAGAGACACCTCTAGCACTTAATGATTCCCTTTATTTTCTTCTAACTACCTCCCCTCCCCTCCCCTCCCCTCCTTAACTTGCAGTTTCATTTCCCCCGGATTAGGGAAAGTGGTGGCCAGGGGGAATGTGGAACTGGTAGAGAATTAGGATTTGTAAGTGGTCTAGTGATCACTAGAAGAACCCTGGCAGACAGTTAGGAGTATATATTTGTTTGCATGTTGTTTCTCCTGTTAGACTGTAAGCTTCTTGAGGCCAGGGCCTGTTTTTTGCCTCTTTCTGTATCCCCAGCACTAAGTACAGTGCCTGGTACATAGCAGGCCCTTCCTAAATGTTTATTGATTAATTAGCCAAGCCACACACACACACATCTATGTACTCTTCTTAAGCAATGGGATTTTTAATAAAAGATAGTAGCTGAAGTTAGCAGGGTAGGGAGCTATTCTCTGATTTATTTCTTCTCCATTTTCTCCTCCCTGCTAGTATCCAAGGGAAATGATGGAATGACTTGGCCTCTGGGGAAGGATCTAGGGTGGGGCTCAAGCGTGGGGTTTCCTTATTTGTAGGAAGGAGGGGAGGGGAAGTGATGGAGGGGAGGAGGAACAGAAGTCTGGGGGATAGAGATACATCAAAAGCATTTGGCTGGAGGGGGATGCAGGTGGAGTTTAGGTTGGCTGGTGGGAGCCATCAGTGAGTGGGGGGAGGAGGATGGGGACCAGAGTGTATCAAAGGCCCCAGAACAAGGGCTAGGGAGAGGTCAGTGGAGGGAGTGGGCATAAGGTGTGGTCTCACTGGAGGGGTCGGTGCTGAGGGTGGGATCTAGGGGCAGCCCTATAGCAGAGAGGTGTCAGAGGCGTCAGTGAGGCCTGGGCTCGGAGGCAGGGCCTGGTGCAAGGTCTCTCGAGGGTAGAACTCTTCTACGACGCTCTGGGGGATCCGTTTGAGCATCTCTTTGGGGAAGATGCGTAGCAGCTGCCAGCCAAGGTCCAGGGACTCGAACACACTGCGGTTTTCATAGGGGCCTGGGGAAGACGGGGAGAAACCGAGAAGGGGGCTGATCCAGGCTCAGGCAGACGTTCCCTCCGCTCTTGCTCAGTCCTTCCAGGGGACCCCTCCTCCCCCCAAGTCCTCCTACCCTGGTTGATGAAATTCCTCTCAAACTTCTGCAGAAACTCAAGGTACAGCAGGTCATCTGAGGTCAAGGCCTCCTCCCCCACCACAGCCTTCATGGCCTGGACGTCCTTCCCAATGGCGTAGCAAGCATACTGCAGGGAGGGGAAGAGATGAATGGGGCTTGAGGCCTGAGCCCCTGGACATTCAGCCGGCCTCTCAGGGAGGCTGACACAGGGCAACTTGAGGCCTGGAAACTGGCTTCAGTGCTTTGGAAGTCCTCCCTCCCCTTTCCCAACACCCCCTCCCATAACCTTATCTTGGGTTTCACAGAATTTCAGATTTTGGACTTCCCTCAGAAGTCAGCTAATCACAGGGTTGGGAGCTGGAAGGAACCTTAGAGAGGTAGCATCATGCAATCAGGAAAACCTGAGTTCCAATCCTGTATCAGATACTTACTAGCTTGTGTGACCTTGGGTCACCACCTCTCTGGGTCCATCTGTTAAGTGGGGGGTTGTATTCTATGACATCTAAGGATCCTTCCAGTTCTAAATCTACGATCCTGGCTGATCTAGCCCAACTCCCTTGAATTTCCAGATGGAAAAATTGAGGTCCAGAGAATAACTCACAGTCAACAAGCATTTTAAGTATTTAAGTTGTGCTAAGCCCTGGGGATATGAAGAAAGGCCTAGAAGTATTCTACCTTGAACAAAGAAGCTAGGTAATAAATTGATCATTATCCCCAGTTCACAGATGATGAAACTGAAGTTCCAGAGGTCAGTCAGTCAGTCAATAAACACTTATCATCACGCCCAGGCTTATGTAGTGACCAAGTATTCAGAACGGGACTCGAACCCAAGTCCCCTGACTTTGTATTCTGGGAATCTTTCCAGTACATTGTACGGTCTTTCCCTTCCATTCTATCCCATCAGTCGAGGTCTCACAGCTAGTTAATGGCTGCTCATTTACCTCACCAGAGAGAATGTCATGAATTCTGCAGAGTGGGAGGAGAGTTGGCCCAACCTTTCCCGTGCCCTAAGCCATACATGTGCCTATGTATGTGTTCTCCATGGCAAACAGCCATCAGTCAGTGAGTAAGTCAACAAGCATGAGGCTCCAGGCACTGATGTGTTACCCAGGTGTGTGCCCACTTTATCCACTCCCAGGTCCCAGGTGCTCATGTCAATACCTTCCATGCATATTCCCTGGCAACGTGTGTGCTCTGCATATGTGTCTTCCTCCACTGGTGATGTGAGGAGGTACACCATGCGGACATTGTGCAGGGCGTATTTTCTTGACACTTAATTTGCTTGTTTGACTAAATGTCTTTTGCCTTGAATCAGTGTGGCATCTGGTCGGCTGCTGCTAAAAGGAAAATATGTTGGTGGGCTTGTGAGCTAGATGAATATAATGAACCTGGGATATGGAATAGCTTTTTTTTTTTTTTGATGGGCCCCTACGTGGGGGCAGCAAGTGCTCTACTGTTCATAGAATCATAGGTTTAGCGTTGGAAAGAATTGCAGAAAAGGCTGAATAGGAAAAATTCAGCAAAATTTGAGAAGACTTCTAAAAACTGTTTTTTTCCTATTAAACATATTTTCACGTTAGTCATGTTGTAAAAGAAGAATCAGGACCAATAGGAGGAAGCACCAGAAAGAGGAAACAAAACACAACAGAAGAAAAAAAAAAAGAGCAAACAGTCTGCTTCGATCTGCATTCAGCTCCTAACTTCTTTCTCTGGATGTGGATAGCATTTTCCATCATGAGACCTTTGGAGATGTCTTAGATCCTTGCATTGCTGAGAAGGGTTAAGTTGATCAATATTAGTCATCACACAATGTTGCTGTTACTGTGTACAATGTTCTCCTGGTTCTGCTCACTTCACTCAGTATCAGAACATACAAGTCTTCCCAGGTTTTTCTAAATTCTGCCTGCTCATCATTTCTTATAGCACAATAGTATTCCATGACATTCATATACCACGCCTTGTTCAGCCATTCCCCAATTGATGGGCATCCCCTCAATTTCCAATTCTTTGCCACCACAGAAAGATCTGCTATAAATATTTTTGTACTTGTGGGTCCTTTTCCCATTTTTATGATCTCTTCGGGATACAGACCTAGAAGTGGGTCCAAAGGCATGCACATTTTTATCGCCCTTTGGGCATAGTTCCAAATTGCTCTCCAAAATGGTTGGATCAGTTTACAACTCCACCAACAATGCATTAGTGTTCCAATTTTCCCACATCTTCTCCAACATACTTATCATTTTCCTGTTTTGTCATGGCAGCCAATCTGATAGGTTTAATGTGGTACCTCAGAGTTATTTTGATTTGCATTTCTCTAATCAATAGTGATTTAGAGCATTTTATCATATGACTGTAGATAGCTTTAATTTCTTCATCTGAAAATTGCCTGTTCATATCTTTTGGCCACTTATCAATTGGGGAATGACTTGGATTCTTATAAATTTGACTTAATTCTCTATGTATTTTAGAAATGAGGCCTTTATCAGAGACACTGGTTGTAAAAAGTCTTTCCCAGTTTTCTGCTTCCCTCCTTATCTAGGTTGCATTAATTTTGTTTGTGCAAAAACTTTTTAATTTAATGTGATCAAAATTATCCATTTTGCATTTCATAATGTTCTCTATCTCTTGTTTGGTCATTAATTCTTCTGTTCTTCCTGAATCTGACAAGTAAACTATTCCTTGCTCTCCCAGTTTGCTTAATAGTATCAGCCTTTATATGGAAATTGTGTACCCATTTTGACTTTATTTTAATATGCGGTGTAAGATGTTGGTCTGCCTAGTTTCTGCCATACTATTTTCCAGTTTTAGCTCACTTCCATTGAGCTAGATTACAGCTCTTCTATAGCTTAGCAGATGGTCTAAAAGCGATAGTTTCGCCAAAAATTTCATTCCCCTATTGGCTAATCTGCTGATTTAAAAATCTTAATAAGCATTTATTAAGTGCCTACTGAGGGTTTTATAAAAATTACCTCACTTCATCCTTACAACTATTTCGTGAAGTCGGTGCTATTACCACTCCCCTCTTACAGATGGATAAACTGAGGTGCATGCAGGATAAGTGATTTGCCCAGGGTCACTCAGCTGGTAAGGGTCTGAAGCAGGATTTGAACTCAGGTCTTCCAGACTCTAACTCTTGGACTCTCCACTCCACCACCTAGCTGCTCCTGATAAGTCTCTCCGAAGGTCAGTATTAGAAGCCTGCCCAGCTCAAGTTCTGCTGGTGCAGCTTTGAGAACCCAGAGTCACCACGGCGCTCATAGCCATGACAAGATCTCAGAGGAAGAAGGTATTAGTTAAGGGTCAGCTCCATCCCCCAAACAAACGAATGACTTTGGAAAAGGGCGTCCAGCCTCGTGGACGGGTAGCAGAGCTGAGCCCCCTGTACTCTGAAGTGGCGTAATCAACGGCTCTGCACCTGGTCCGTTCCCCAGCGTCCTTTCCTTACCAGCTGGTTCGAGACGTCACCGTGGTCCTTCCTTGTCATGCCCTCGCCGATGGCTGACTTCATCAGACGGGAGAGGGAGGGAAGCACGTTGATGGGAGGGTAGATCTGAGGGAGTAAAAAGGGATAAGAGGGGTTAGGGTGGGGCAGAAAGGGAAGTGAGGAAATCTATTCAGCACCAATGAGCAGCCACCATCCTCCTGGATCCTCTCTAGATCTGGGGACACCACTGGTGCCTCCTCCCGCTCTGTATAGAATCTGAGTGCACAAAGTCGTTGGCTGCCTTCCCCTTTAGAGCAGGGGAGCGCCTCTAGCCTGACCCTGTTTTTGCCTTTCTTTTTATCTCCAGAGCCTAGCACAGCACACGGCACACAGTCAATAAACATGTATTAAGCACTGACTGGCCTCAGTTTCCCCACTTGTAAAAGGAGGGAGCATCACATCTTTCCTATGACTTTATCCTTTCTCTTAACTGACTGTGGAAATGAGGTGTCTACTTATAGTTATCCCTCTGAGTGGTTCAAAGACCGCATGGGCTGGGAGAGAAAAGCAGCATTGAGCAGAAAGAACACAAAGGGGAGGGAAACTGCCGGAACCTGTCTGTTGTGCAGCTGTCTGTCCACATAAATCTGTCCCTCGGTAATGAAGCCAGTCAGGTCAGGGATGGGGTGGGTGATATCTGGAATAGAGAGTTTGGATGTTAGTGGGACTGGGAACCACGTGCTCCCCATCAGACCAAGGAACCGCGTCTCCTCCAATGAATAGCAGAGGATCGTAGATTCATTAGAGTTGGAAGGGACTTTACAAGACATCTAGTCCAACCCTCTTCATTTTACAAATGGAGAAACCAAGGCACAGAGTGATTAAGGGACTTGTCAATGTTCTTGCCAATGTTCTCCAAGGCTGGCTGCCTTGGAGACAACTGACTCTGGGTAGGAGTGGGGGACAGGACTAAAGCAAGGGGAGAGACGGCAAGGGAGATTGTTTGGGGTGGAGAAGCTGGCAGGGGAGTCCTCACCATCATTGGGCATCGTGAGAATGGGGATCTGTGTGATGGAACCTCCCCGGCCTTCCACTCGGCCTGCCCGCTCATAGATGGTAGCCAGATCCGTGTACATGTACCCAGGGAAACCACGTCGGCCAGGTACCTCCTCCCTGGCAGCTGAGACCTGGGTGTGCCCGCCGCGGACAGCAGGGAGAGAGACATCAACTGACGAAGAGTCACCCAGAGACAAAGCAGATATGGAAATAAATGGAGACAGAGACAAGAGACAGAAACAGCAGTAGAGAGGCAAGAAGAGAGATAGACCAAGGCAGACACAACAGAAAAGCAGAAAGGTAAATAAACAAGGATAGAAAAATTCATTGAAGGGGTTGAGGTCCACCATCTGTCTCTTCTCCCAGAATTCCTGGATCCAAGGAGGATTGGAATGATGCCTTCCTACTGCCTCCCCGCCCATTCCACCCGTCCCCACTCTGGTGCCTGCCCCCTCCCCCCAGCCCCTATCCTCACCTCTCTCAGGGCCTCTGCGTAGGAGCTCATGTCTGTTAGTATGACTAACACATGCTTCTCACACTGATAGGCGAGGAACTCAGCTGTAGTCAGGGCTAGGCGGGGTGTGATGATCCTTTCAATCCTGGGGGTATGAGGGATGGAGAAGGGAGTTAATGAACTCAGGTTTAACCTGGGCTTCTGGGCATGTGCAGTTCAGGTCAGAGAACTAGGTGAAGTTACCTCCTTAGTTTCAATTCAATTCAATTCAATTCAATTGAACAGAATAAGCACCTGCTATGTTCCAGGAACACTGTTAAGGCTTAAGATACACAGACAAAAACATAACTGACCCTTTAAGAAGGTTGCCTTGGTGGGGGTGGGAGGGTGGGGGGATACAACATTTGCTAAGGAATGTTTTTCTTCATGGATGGGACTTTCTTTTGGATGTGTTTTCATTGGTAGAGGACATACCTTCCACCCATGCTAACTGCCCCCTACTGTGTAACGTATAATCTTACTGAGTTACCTGAGCCGTTGAGAGGCTGGGTGACACGCCTGGGGTCTATATCAGAAGGGGTACTTGAACCCAGGTGGGCAGCTACGTGGATAGAGCGCTGGACTTGGAGTTAAGTAGACCTGAGTTCAAATCCTGCTTACTAGCTGTGTGACCCTGGGCAAGTCACTTAACCTCTGTCTGTTTCAGTTTCCTCACCTGCAAAATGCACCCACCTCCAGGGCTGTTGTGAGGATTGATGAAGTAACACATGTAAAACTTTTTTACAAACCTTAAAGTGCTATATAAATTTTAGCCATTATTGCTTCTTGTTCCAGGCTGGCTCTATGCACTTTGCCATGGAGACTTTCTAGGTTACTCCAAAGCAACACAGGACAGTCAAGAAAGGCTGGATGTGGGAAGAGGGGGGGAAAAGAGGGGAGAAGCATGCTGCAGAAATGGGGAACCATCTGAGTTAAGATGTGGCATTTGATGAGGGAATGTCTCGTATGGGCTAAAGATCAGTTTGATGGTTTAAACATGCCCCTCCCAATAACCCCCAAACTAGGGAGTCTGGGAAATGTGAAGCTGGTTGAAATATGGTTTCCTCCTCACAGTGAAACATGCTGTCCATTTCTGGATGGAGAGCTGAGGAACTCACAGAACAGACTGAAACAGACTTTCTCCTCTCTCTTTTTTTTTCTGGCCCCCCCCTCTTCTTTTTGGACATGGCTCATGTAGGAATTGGTCTTTCGTGACTGTACATATTAGTAATGGCCTTTGTCTTTCCTGCCTTCCCAATGGTGGAGGAGGGCGAGGGACGAGGAATTTGGAACTGAAAATCAAAATGAATCTGTAGTGGAACATGGCACTGAGGTTTTGTGGCTTGTTACAGCAGCGTTCAGAGCCTCAGGTGTAGTAATAATAGCTGGAACTTATACTTTATGCATATTACTTCATTTCAGTCTCACAATAACCTGGTGAGGCAGAGGCTGTGAGCATTACTGCCCCCACTATACAGATGAGAAAACTGAGGCTTAGACAGTCTCAGTGACTTGCTCATAGTCACTCAACTAGTAAGTGTTAAAGAGAAGAGGGACGTGAATATGGGAATGCCCTGTACTCTCTGCTTAGAAGGCAGATAAGATGTGTTGCTAGGTAGAGGGGCCCAAACCAGTGCTGTGGAGGCCAGGTAATCCTTTGTCCATCTCCAGGAGGGGAGGATCAGTAGCTGCAGGGACTGGCCATTGGCTTTCACCCTGCTGTGTGGGGACTTGGAAGAAACCCCAGTCTCTGGAAACTCCTCTGCTTCCCAGGAATTTCTCCCAAGCCCCAGGACTGGAAGGCAGGTCTTGCTCCTGCTTCCACACCCATCACCCTAGCCACTGCTTCTCATCAATAGATGATGCAGAGTGGGGGTGACCTAGAGTTGGGGACCAGCAAGGTTAGAGTGTCCAAGGGACACGGGAACATGTATTCAGAGGTGGAAAGCATGTCTTGTCTGACTGGGAAGGGAGGGGAGAAAGGAGACAAGAATAATAACTCACATTTATGTAGGGTTTTAAGGTTTGCAGAATGGTCTCCATATATTATCTCATTTAATGCTCGACCTTGTTATTATTGTAGCACAATCGGTGATATTATTAATGGAATCTCAGAGAAGGAGGCTGAGGCAGAGAGAGAGGTTGTGACTTGCCCAGGGTCACACAATTACTAAGTGGCTGATGCCGGTGCTGCAAGCCATCACACCATCTGGGAGATGCTTCAGCTGCTAGTGGCGTTGCTAAGTCACTGCCACTCCTGGGACTTGGGCTCCAGTCTAGCTTTGCCCCTGACTTGCTGGATGATTTGGGGGCCTCAGTTTTCTCCTCTGTACAATGAGAGGCTTGAACTTGATGGTCTTTGACGTTCCTACCAGCTCTCCATCTGTGATCCCATGATCCCTAGAGGCAGCTCGATGTCATAGAAAAAGAGCCGGCCTCAGCCCCAGAAAGATCCAGGTTCAAAGTCTACCTTCGACCCACACAGACTGGGTGACCCTGGGCAAGACTCGTTCTCTCCCAATGGTCTGTGAAACTCTCTGAGACTAGGAGCTTCTCAACAATAGTAGAGGGACTTTCCTCACCTGGGAGTTCCCTTTGTCAAAGCTTCAGTCCTAGATCCAGTCCCTTTCACTACCTAGGGTCTCTAAGGTTCCTTCCAGCATGTACACGCTAGGGTTCCGGGGTGCGCACAATCCTGGACAGCAGTGGTCATAGCCCAGGTCTTATGTTTGGAAGTGACCTTTCCCTCCTCCAGCCTCCCTCAGGAGGAAGGTATTAACCCCCTCAGGAGATGCCTTTCCACATTTTCAACTTGACTTTGTATTGTCGGTCTTATTTCTCTCAAGGTTAGCTCTTGCAGGGCAGGGACCTGGCCTTCTCTAAATTTTGTATTCCTTTGTTGTGCCGAGAGCATAGGAGACACTCAATGAGTGAATTTTGAGAGAGAGACAGAGACAGAGACAGAGAGACAGAGAGACACAGAGAGACAGAGACAGAGAGACCAAGAGACACACACACAGAGGAAGACAGAGACAGAGATAGAGATAGAGTATAGAGACAGAGACAGACAGAGAGACAGAGAGAGACAGAGAGCGTATCAGAGACAAAGACAGAGAACGTGGGAAATCCAAGTCCCATCCTAGGAAACTTCAGAGAGTTCAGAGCATTTTAATATGTGTGGGCAGGGTGGCAAAAAGGGTTCCAAGGAGCTAGGGGGCTCACGTGGGGTCGTTGGCCAGGTTCAGGAACAAGCAGACATTGCCCATGGTACCATTCTGCTCAAAGTCACACTTGAAGAATCGAGCCGTCTCCATGTTTACCTGGTCATTGAGTGGGGGAAAGTCACTGGTGAGGTGGAGACAAAAAAGACGACAGCTCTCTCCCTCCCCACTGGATGATAGGATGGAAAGAAAGAGAGAATATATAATTTTTTTTCAGCTGAGACTGTTAAACTAAGATGATGATTTTCTGAAGGTCAGGGGCTGCATGTGCATTTTTCTCTTGTCTCCTCAGAGCGTACCTGACCCAGCATTGAAGCATGTGTGGGGTTTGGCAGGTGAGAAGGGCAGCTGGGGAAGTGGGGTGTGTGAAGCGGAGGGGGGCGATGCCTGCCCACCTATCCCCCAGGTTCTTAGCGACGCTTCCGTGCTTAAACTGAGAGCTGGAGCTATGATGTCACCCAGGGACCCTGGCCCAACAATTGTCCTTGCTGACTAGAGCTAAGGTCTGTGGTTTCTACGCGCTGCAGGACCAACCCCTAGTGCCGTCCGTCCCCCTTTAAACTCAATAGCCTCACTATCCTGGAAGCCCCATCGCCACGCCTTAGTTACAGTTCTGCTGAGAGCTATGGCCGAAGTTCCAAGCTTCCCCAGCCTGGCTGTCTGCCTCCTCCCTACAATTGTCTTCTCTCCCTTAGCTTCCACTTTCCCGGGTCATACTGGAAGCCATTCTCCGCTAACTTCTCTGATCTCCAAGACCTTCTTCCCTCCTTTTCTCTCTTTCCTTCTAAGCTGGCTGGAGTCACTCATCACAGAGGCTCCCTTCCCACTGACACTATCAGCCTCCCCTCCCCCGCCTCGCCCTCATATCACTCTGCTATTCTGCCCCATGAAAGTCTCAGACCCACTTTCTGTTTTGCTCACCCCCATGGCTGCAAACACAATGGCAAAGTTATCTTCATGATAATCAATGACATCCTTAGACTTTTTCACCAGCCCCGCCTGTCGGCAAATCTGTGCAGCGATCTATTAGGGAGGAGAGAGACAGAGAGACAGAGACAGAGACAAAGACAGAGACAGAGATAGACGGAGCATTAGCATCAGAACGTGGGGGGGGTTCATGTTCCATCCTAGGAGACTTCAGAGAGTTCAGAACCCTTTTATTTATTTATTTTTTCAATTTATTTAGTATTTTATTTTTCCCCAGTTACATGTAAAAACAATTTTAACATTCGTTTTTAAAACTTTGAGTTCCAAATTCTCTCCCTTCCTCCCTCCCCACACTCCACCCCTCATTGAGAAGGCAAACAATTTTATATAGGTTATGCATATGTAGTCATGCAAAATATTTCCAGATCAATCATGTTGTGAAAAATAAAAAGACAAAAAAACCCTCAAGAAAAATGAAGGAAAAAAAAATATGCTGACAGATTCAGACACCATCAGGTCTTTGTCTGGGAATAGATAGTATTTTTCGTCACAAGTCCTTCATAGTTGTCTTGGATTGCTGAATTGCTGAGAAGAGCTAATCAGAGCCCTTTTAACATGCTGTATAATGTCTCATCACCTTTGGTGGGAAGACTGAAGCTCAGAATGAAGTCAAGAGTTATAAAGTATACAACAATAAAACATATGTGTATTTGAGTTGGTATTTGGGGATAAGAATGACTAAATTATCAGATGGAGAAACCAAGGCATGCTCAAAGGATGGAATGGATTCTGTCTTGGAGGAAGCTGACATTTTCCTGTTACAGAAAGGAGCCCGGCTGCTGGTAGGGTAGGGGAGCATGAGCTCTGGCTTAGAGCTAAGGACCTGGACCCAACCTTAGCTCAGCTATGTATGAGGTATATGATCTTGGGAAGGTCATTTTTCCTCCCTGAGTTTCAGGTTTTTGTTTTTCAATCTGTACACTGAGGGATTTGGACTAGATGTTCCCTAATGGCCCTTGAAAACAGTAGGTGAAACTTAAAGGGAGCTTGTGGCAGAATGGGTATCTGCTGGAGTTGGAGTCAGGAAGTCCTGAGTTCAAATCCTGCCTCAAACACTTACTAGCTGTGTGACCCTAGGCAAGTCACTTAATCTCTGCCTACCTCAGTTTCCCACTCTGTAAAATGGGAGAAAATAATAACACCAACTTCACAGTATGTTGTTAAGAGGATCAAAGGAGGTGACGTAAATAAAGTGCTTCACAAACCTTAAAGCACAGTATAAATGTTAGTTATAACAGTAAGAACAAGAACAAAAACAATAATAATAATGATTCCTGACTCCAGGCCAGCTCTCTGGCCACAATGACATTATGATATGATAGATATGTTATTATATGATGTAATAATAATTAATATATATAAAACATACTACAAAAATATTAGCTCTTATTATATGGCACTTTAAAGTACATAGAATGCTTTTGTGCATTTTTTCAATTGGTCCTCACAGTAACCCAGTTAGGTCAGTACTATAGGTATTCTCATACCTACTTCACATATGTGGAAACTGAGGATGAAAAAGCATAGATCACCTCCACAGGGTCACACAGGTAATAGGAGTGAGAGGCAGTATTGGAACCCAGGTCTTCCAGACTCCCAACCAGACTATTTTAAACTATGCAGAACTGATACACTGATAAACCTAAGGATGTGTATTGGAACCCAGGAAGCATCCAGGGCTCTTACACATCCTAGAGGAAGAGGGAGGCCAAGACAGTAGGCTTGGCCAAGGTCAGACAAGCTATGGAGCTTGGCAGCAGCCCTGGGGTTCTCCCAGGAGTGCCAGGGATGCCCAAATGGACACCAGCCTAGCTCTTCTCTTCTTACCTCATTGTGAGGGAGTCCTGCTGCAGAGAAGATGGGGATCTTCTGCCCCCGGGCAATGCTGTTCATGACATCGATGGGTGAGATGCCTGTCTGGATCATCTCCTCAGGGTAGATTCGGTTATGGGGGTTGATTGGCTGACCTGGGGCAAGAAGGTGGGGGAAACACAGGGAGGGGGTGAGATAGGTTTCAGATGGGACTTGCTTTGTCCACTAGGCCTGAAGTTCCGATTTCCCTGAAACTGTAGTCCCCAGACCCATGAGTGAGGAATGGAGCCCTAGGAAAAGAAAGGGAAGAGAGGCCAGTGTGATGATGATGAAATAATCCCCAGAGGACACTCATATATTTGGGGATGCAGTGGTTTGATACATAGCAATGGGACTGATTCAGTAATAGAAATGTCATTAAGTCTTTCATTGAATCTTCAATTCAATTGAATCTTCAGGTCCAAATATATCCGTCTGCCCAACTATCTATCCCCTGCAACAAAAAATAGAAAAGGAAGAGAAAGACCTGTTCAGCACTCTGAAGCCACACATCAACCATATCTGGCAGCACTCAGGATGTGCTGGAGCCAGCTCAGCCTTGAATTAGGCTTACATCACTGACTCATTGTACAACCTGGAAAAATCACTTTTTCTTTCTCAGCCTTGAGTTTCCTTGCTTGTAAAATGATGCAATAGATGCAGCTCTGATATTCTGTTTTTTAAGACCCCTTCAGCCATGATCTCTCTTAGATCTGACATCCTGTGTTCCAAGGTCCCTCCTAAATCTGACATTTTATGTTTTAAGGTCCCTCCTGGCTCTGACATTCTTTTCTAAGGTCCTTCCCAGACCTGACATTCTCAGATCCTTTCTTGATTTGACAGTCTGTATTCTAAAGTCTCTTTCAGTATTGACATTTTATATTCTAAGGCCCTTTCTGGGTCTAGGATTCAATATTTTGCTGTGTTGTTGTAAGGACCAAGGACAGTCCTAAAGAGGAGTGAAAGAATGCATCTCCTCCCTTCTTTGCCCGAGGTTGGAGGTGGGGAGCCCTATGGTGGGATTGGAATGACAGAGTCTGGATGAATGACCACACTTTTATCTGCATTGTTAATGGTTTCACCATCACTTTCTTAAGTCTAAACCAGGAGTGGGGACCTGTGGCCTTAAGGCCACACATGGCCCTCTAGGTCCTCAAGTGTGGCACTTTGACTGAATCTAAACCTCACAGAACAAACTCCCTTAATAAAAGGATTCGTTCTGTAAAACTCGGACTCAGTCTAATGGCTGCATCCAACGACCTAGAAGGCCACGTGTAGCCTCAAGGCAGCAGGTTCCCCACCCCTGTTCTAGATAATCAACAGAGCAATAAATCGGCCCTGATTGGGAACATTTGCTGAGTTTCAAGGTATAAAAACTCACACCTAGAATTGAACAATTGACTCTGGTAAGCTGGTGTGAGCTGGCTCCAGCACATCCTGAGTGCTGCCAGATATGGTTGATGTGTGGCTTCAGAGTGCTGAACAGGTCTTTCTCTTCCTTTTCCATTTTTTGTTGCAGGGGATAGATAGTTGGGCAGACGGATATATTTGGACCTGAAGAGGGCATGAACGGCAGTTGGATATAGTACCTAGAGATGGGAAGAGAGGTCCTGAGGTCCACTCACACCCACTGGTTACTCACCATTGATGTCCAGAAAGTCTTCAGCCATAACCTCTGGCCCTTGGTCAATGGGTTTGCCAGAACCATTGAAAACTCGACCTAAGAGGAAGGAAGTAGGAAGAAGTCAAGGAATATAGAGAAATGTTTGGAGTGCTGAACAAATTAGGATGTAAATTAACTGTTAACTCCTTAATTGTTGATTTCCCTCTCTTGACACCCTGCAGCTATCCAGAGATTGTTCCAATAGTTTTCTCTCCCAATCCCTGTCCCATTTTTCACAGGGCTCTTCTGAGGACAATGTTCCCACCAAGGGAACCAACTCTAATAGAGGAGAATTTCAGGGAATGGGAGAGGAAAAGGTGGGGCCATGGAAGGGTGGTGAAGAAGTACTCTGGGAAAAGACAAGGTCCTGGGGTGTCCTTTGCAAGAAGCATCTTGGGATAGTGGGAAAAATGCTTGACTAATTCAGAAGACTTGGATTCTAAGCCCAGTTCCATTAATTACTAGCTGGGTGACCTTAAGTGAGTCACTTCCTCTATAAGCATCTGTTTCCTTATCTGTTAAATGAGGAAATAATTATGCTCTTGGACAATCCCTCCAGCTCTAATGTTCTATATCCTAAGGTGCTTCCTAGGTCTGACATTCAGTGTTCCAAGGGACCTTCCAGCTCTGACAGTCCCTATTCTAAGGTCTTTCCTCAATTTGATGTTGTAGGCAGGACGGGATCTTAGAGATCATCTGGTCCTTCAGAAAAATTAGATGAATTGCCCAAGGTCACACAGGTCATGAGTGGCTGGTGTGAAATTTGAACCCCTGTTGTCAGCCTCCATTTCCAACTTTCTTTCCACCCAACTATGATGTCCCTACAGCATCATTTGAGGTGACTGACAATTTTGCCTATGTTTGGAGTTGTCCTTTCCTAATCCCATTCCTTACCTAGCATGTCTTCTGATACAGGAGTCCGGAGGATGTCACCAGTAAACTCACAGGTTGTCTTCTGGGCATCAATCCCTGATGTCCCTTCAAATACCTATAGGGCAAGAAGTTAATGGTGAAGGTACTGCTGGTGGTGCTGGTGCTAGTGCTAACAACAATTATTCATGGTGTCCCCAAAATCACTGTACAGTTTTAAGCTTTAATAGCTTAAATACGGTGCATCTAGGTGGCACAGTGGATAGAGGATCAGCCCTGAAGTCAGGAGGAACTGAGTTCAAATCCGGCCTCAGACCAAACACTTGACAGTTACTAGCTGTGTGATTCTTGGGCAAGTCACTTAACCCCAATTACCTAAAAAAAAAATGCTTAAATGCCAAATCTAGCTTTAATAGCTTAAAACAGTGCCATGGTACTTTTGGGACACCTTGTATAACATCAGCTATCATCATCACCACTATTATTATTATATATTACATTTCATAGGCATTTGTTTGTTGTTATATGTACATAATAGTACCATAACTTTAACCTTTCCTAATTGTTTCTGATACATTTCCCTATTTAATCTTCAAACAAGCTTGTGAGATGCCTGTCCTAGGTATTGTAACTCCCATTTTATAGATGAGGGAACTGAGGCTGGGAGAGATTGAGTCACTTGGCCAAGGTTGAACAATAAGAAAGCTTCAAGGCTGGATCTTGAACGCAGCTGTGACTGAGGCAGGACTCACACCCAGGTGTCTCCTCCCTGTGGGGCTGGCATCCTTTCTGGCTGAGCCATTGGTTAAGGGTCTGTGATTTTACCGAGGTGGTGGCTCTTTTCACTGATGAAGATCCCAAACCATTCTATATCTGTTACTTAGTAGGGAGGTCCTTGATGTTGCTGTGGGGTCGAGAGGTTAAGGGACTTGTTTCTGGTCACCCAGTCACTAGATGTGAGAACCAGGATCCCATTCAGTCATCGAATCCCAAAAATATTTGTTCAGTGGTTCCTCTGCCAGACATTAGGGGCTAGAAAGATAAAAATGAAGCTCCCTCCTCAAGGAGCTTTGCAACCTGACTCCAACCTACCTTTCCAGGCATGTTCATGAAGTCTGTGGTCCAGCTAAACTTCTTACTCTTCTTCACACATGACATTTCATTTCCTGTTTCTGGACCTTTGCCCAGGCTGTGCCCTCAGTCTGGAATACTCTTTGTACTTACCTCTGCCTCTTTTAATACTGAGTTTGTTTCAGAGCTCAGCTTAAATGTCACCTTCTCTGATCCTCCAGCTACTAGTTCCTTCATATTTGCCATTTGTTAATTTTGTATTTTGTACGTATGTTTAAGGGTTTATGTTGTCATTCCTTATAGAATGCTGTGTGTGAGACAAGGGAGGAATATATAGTTCCTGCCCTTGGGAAACTCCCAGTGTGGTTGGTGAGACATTATTTACACCAATGAAAGCATTGGAGAGCCAGCTCAGACTGATGTAGACAAGGGCTGCTTCTCAGGGAAAATTCTAGGTGCTACTGTCCATAGAATCAGGGAAGTCTTCCTGGAGGAAGTGGGATTTGATCTGGGCCTTGAAGAGAGGAAGGAGGAAGATGTTCCAGGGGGAGGGTAAACCCTCTCTCCCTATCCACACGGAGTCTTCCCTCTTACCTGAACAATGGCCTTGGTCCCAGCCACCTCCAGGACCTGCCCGCTTCTCTGAGTGCCATTTGGGAGAGTGAAGTTGACGATCTCAGCATATTGGGCAAACTGGGGAGAATGCAGAGCATCCAGGAAAAAGATGTGAGAGCAAGAAGGGCAGAGGGCAACACTGATCAGCCACCCACTCCTTCCCATGATGTGGAAAAGAATGCATAGGACGAGAAGTCCAGAGTTAGGGTTCTGGCACTGACTTACTGTGTGACCTTGAACAAGTCATTTACTGCTGTGAGCTGTGGTTTCCTCTCTCGTAAAATTTCATCTGGTTAGAGCTAACAGGTGAACCAGTTCATTAACTTTGCTACAAATTGGGGATTTATTTACTGTTTTGTTGACTGTTAGACTTAAGAAAATGTAACAACAACAATAATGCAAATTCAGCTGAGAAGTGTGTTGTTCGTACATTTCCTCCCCTAGAGAGCTGGTTGTTAAACATTTACCAGCACACCATTGAAGGCACAGGAAGTCAGCTAGTCTCCATTAAACAATTTTTTTGGGGGGGTGGGGTGGGATGGATTGTGATTGGCCGTGTCATTGAAGAGAATATCTCAATTAATGAGATCACAGATAGCAGACTGATCTTGAGTCTCCAAATGTCATCCTTTTCCATAGAATTTAGATCTCTTCCCCCTATAATCACATCTGTTCTTCATAATTTGGGGTTAGGGCTCTTTCCTTTTAAAATTAAATTTTATTTTTTTATCAGAGAAAATTCACTTTCTTTTCCTTCTATTATCCCTTCCTAATTGAGAATGAAAGAAAAATAAAGCCCTAATCATGGACATGTATGGTTGTAATTCCTTCATTTTATTGAGGAAGGAATATGACCAAAGAGATGTGATTTGCTAAGGTCACACAGCAAAGACGACACCTGAGGTTGGAGCTGAGGCTCAAGTCTCTCCCCTGCTCTGTGGAGCACCTGTTAACCCCATGGGCCCCATGTTGTAGAGAAGCAGAGTCAAGAAGGGTTTACATCCCTGCTGAGGCTCTGAGAGTTATCTAGGGAATTTAGGACCTGTCTCTGCTGTGATGATGGTGAGGGTGTGTGTGTGTGTGTGTGTGTGTGTAGAGTCATTGATCCCCCCAAAACTGTGTCCCTTGGGGACTGGACTGAAGCCCGGGGCTGTTGCTTATTCTAATGATCCCTTCCTCTGCTCCCAGCGGTCTTGCTCTTCACCACAAGAGGGTAGACAAGATCAAAGACAAGTGGGCAAGCCAGAAACCCTGAAGTCAAAAGGCTTTGCTACCACTTGGATCTTACTCTGCCTCTGCCTTGCTTTTGTCCTCCCCTCCCCCCATTCCTGTCTGTCTCTGCTCCTCTCTATCTGTCCACCTTTCTGTCCTGGTACCTGTCCCTCTCTCTGCCCTGTCCTCACTTTACTTTGCCCTCACTCTTTCTGCCTGGCCCTGTCTCCCTCTCTGCTTCTGTACTTGACATCTTCTTTCCCCGCAAACCAGGATTTCAGACTTAAAAGAAGGGAATCTAAGGGTTATTGAGTCCAACCCCTTTGTTTTTACAAATGAGGGAACTGAGGCATAGACAGATTAAGTGACTTGCCCAATGCCACGTAGCCAATAAATTTCAGAGATGGAGTTTATATATGGGCCTTCCTGACTCCAGGTCCTTCAGCTATCCTGCCTCTATGTCCCTGTCTTCTTCCTTGCTCTTCTCTGTTGGTCTCTGTCTCACCCACTCACCCTCCCCCTTCCCTCTCTCTCTCTCTCTCTCTCTCTCTCTCTTTTTCTCTTTCTCCCTCCCTCCCTCCCTTCTTTGCTCCTGTGTCTGTCCTGTTCCTCTGTCTACTCATGTCTTCCCTGTCCCTATCTCCCTCTCAGTTCTTGTCCCCATTCTCTCCCTGCCCCCATTTCCCTCCCTTCTCCTGTCTCTGTCCATCCCTTCTTCTTCCTTCTCCTTATTCCCCTCTCAGCTCCTGTCCCTCTTTCTCTCCCTGCTCCTCTCTCCCTCCCTGCTCTGTCTCTCACTGTCCTGTTTCTCTTCCCATTCCTTTCTCTGTCTATTCCCGTCTTCTTCCCTCTTCCCGTCTCTCTCTCAGCATCCGTCTTTCTTTCTCTCCCTGCCCCTGTCTTTCTCCCTGCTTCCCACTCTGCCCCTGTCCCTGCCCTTGTCCCTTTCACTGTAAAAACTGGTGCTTCTTCCACCACCCTTCTCTGATAAATGGAGTGAAATCGAGACTCAGAGGTTAGGCTGGGGCTGGCCGGACAGTGCCATTTTGGGCATGCTTCCCCAGGATGTTTTCTCCCCACTAGGGAAAGCATGTTCTATAGTGACTGAGCTCTTTTTACAGTGCAGGGGTTGTCAGAAGATGGCGCTGTAGGGACAAACATGAAGAACCTGGAATTTGGAAATGAAAGGGAAATGGGTTCTGGAGCATGGGTGGAGAAAGGTCTCTATACCAGGATCTTAGCACCGTTTACCTTCCCCCACATTCAACCCCAGTTGATCTAGGATTAGCTTGCTACTTCTTACCAAGCTGTGGTTTTGTAGGACCTTAGACCTGGAAGGTGTCTTTAAGTCTTGACCCTCTCATTTTACAGATGAGGAAACTGAGGGCCAGAGAAAAGATTGACTTTCCCAAGGCCACACAGCAAGTTAATAGCAGATCCAGAGAGGACTGGAATCTTTCTACTATGCCAGAAAGAGTTCCTTCTATATTATATCATGTACAGCATTCCACTGTCTGTCTCCTCGTCTTTGCACTGATTGGCCCCAATGTCTTCTTAACCTTCATCTCATAGACTGCCCCCCCCAATACTCAGTTCAAATATTACCTACTCAAATCTTATTGGATTTCCCCAACTACTTATTCCTTTCGTCAATTACCTCATCCTTATTCTGTATATAAATATATACAAAAATGTTGTCTCCTCTGATTGAATGTAAGTTACCTGAGGGTAGATACTTTTTTTTTGTTTTTGTCTGTCTAGTGTCTAGGCAGGTAGAAGGGAGGTAATGGAGCTGGGTTATCCTTGGTTAGATGTGACTATTTCCCATGAGCTTTGTGGTGAGGCTTATTTGCTTCCCAAGTCAAGCGTTCCTGAAATCGTATGGCATTGTTCCATTGAATTACATATCTATACAGACCATCATAATCATCATAATAACCCTTGGAATATATGGTACTGGGCCTTGTCCACCCTGTATTCCACTTAATCCCTCACAGGGCCCTAGGAGATTGTCAGTATTGACTCAACTTTATAGGGAAGAAAATGGAGGTCCATAGAAGGTAAATGACCTACTCAGGGTTACCCATGGAGTCAGTGTCAGAGCAGGGAGTAGAAATCCTGACCTTTCCCCTACCTCTCAGCCCAGAGCTCTTTCTGTTACACCATAAGAGACTTACTCACCTTGATAGATATATTCTTCATGACTTATTACCTTGGCAGCAAATGGAGGATAAGGGGAGGTATTTCGTGTGTTTGTCAGGGACTGGGGAGGAAAGATGTATTGCCTTAGAATGCAGCTTTATGGCTTAGGGGGATAGGGAGGCAGAGTTTAGTAGGAGCAGTAGCAGGTGTTGGGGGTAGGATAAAGAATGAGGAGACAGAGTTTGGGGAAGTGTATCGTGGGTCAAGAACAAGAGAGAAGGATGCAGCTTCAAATCACTCTGCCATCTTCCTACCTTTACATTATCCAGAACAACCAAAGGCCCATTGACACTGCACACAGTCCTATAGGCTGAGGAAGAAGAGAAAAGATAGATGAATTGGCCTCAAAAACTGTATAAATTAATCAACCAATAAGCATTTATAAAGTTCCTACTATGTCCCACAGCTGGGGATAGAAAGACAAAAATGAAATGTCTCTGGTCTCAAGGCACTTATATTTTATTAAGGGAAACACAATTATGATTCACATAAGAGAGCTTCCTAACTCCAGACTCAGTGCTCTATCCACTGCATCAACAGTGTGACCTTCAAAAAGGTTAAGGAGATGTGAGGGCTGAAAAGAGTCTGTGAGATTTGGTGGTGAGTGATCTCTGAGAGCAGTTTCTGGAGCATCATGGCGGGAGAAGTTTGGATTGCAATGGCTTGAGGTCAAAGTGGGTAGCGAGGAAGAGGAAGCCTCAGGTATAGACACATTTTTCAAGATTAGCCGCAAAGATTAGTTAAGTCCAGGGATAATAGTTATTCAGTAGAATGGTTAAAGGAAGGCTTTTTAAGGAATGGAGAGGCTTAAGCATATTTATATTCAGATGGGAGGAAGCCAGTAGAGATGGAGAGGCTGAAAATGCACAGGAGAGACCAAGTAAGGATCTAGGGGAGGCTGGAGGGAATGAAAACCCAAGTGCAGGGGAAGCTCAAGGTCAAATAGGAATTTTATGTGCGCTGGCCAAGTACTCCCACCCCACCAACCTCCATCTCCTCCCTCTCCCTCTGAAATCTCTGACTCTCACTTCCTTTCCCTTCCCCTCCCCCAATCCCAGGTTTCTCTGCCTTTTCTTTCATAGAATCGTAGATCTAGAACTGGAAGGGAACTTTGTGATTTTCCAGTCTACCACCCGTTGTACAGCTGAGGAAACTGAGGATTGGAGAACTGAAGTGACTTGCCAAGATCATGAAGGTTTAAGCAACTGATCCAGGATTTGAACCCCTCTTCCGATGCTGAATCTAGACACTCCTTCCACCACACCATGCTGTCGTTCTCTCCTTTTCTTGTCTACCCTTTTCATGTCTCTTCTTCTGCCCTCCCCTCCTCTCCTCTTTTCCCTTTCCTCCTCTTCTCTTTTCTCCTCCCTTCCCCTCTCTCCCTTTTCTTCTCTCTTCCCTTCCCCTCTCCTCTCTTCTTCTGTTCTTCTCCTCTTCCTTCCTTTTATCAGCCATCTCCCCTTCCCTTTCTTCTCCTCCCCACCCCTCTCTCCCACTTTCCCTTTCTCTTCCCTCTTTTCCCTCCTTCCTTCACTTTCCTCCAGCCCCCTCCCTCCCTCAGTTCTTCCTTCCCTGCCCATCCTACTCCTGACAGCTCGGGCGCATCCAGGCCATTAGCTGTGACAGGGGCAGCCACCATTGCTGTAAGGGTCATGCTCCCGACCAGGGCCCCACCTCACCCTGAACACCTGCGGGAGGCTGGGGGAAGGGGCACAAGGCCTCCCATAGCTCTCATTGGCTGGGCCCTTCACAGCTCACCACTTCCAGAATTAGAGAGGGCTTTTTAATCCCCAGGGGGTTGCTTCCTCTCTTGCCCTCCCTTGCCCCTTCCAGCCTCAGCAGCTATAGCTAACTCCTCCTCCCTCTCTGCACTGTGGGAATGACTCAGGCTCCCAACCCTGCCCAGCCCAACCCTGCCCTACTCAGCCTCTTACACTGGACTTGGGCATTTCATTCATAATTGTTTGAGTATTGTTTCTGTATACCCGGCACCTACCATGGAGCCCGGCATGTTGTAGTCCCTTAACAAATGTGCCCTGAATCAAACTGAGTAATAACGAGATTAAAATAGGGGACGGAAAGTCAGCATGGACAGAGAATTGTCCTCTAAGCTGGGAAAGATTGCCTTTGACATATACTGACTGTGTGACCAAGGGCAAATCATTTAACCTCTCTGTGATGCCTAAGAACTTTCTAATGTTATACTTTGTTGGCAAATTGTAGATCAGTGTCAGTGGGTGGGAGTTTCCACACTGGGAGTTACTCATATCAATCACAACAGCACAGGTCGGGACCTAATAATATAGAGGACACTTACAACCTCAAAACACTTTGCATAAATTATTTCTTTGGAGTCTCACAAAACCCTGGGATGCAGAGAGTGGAATTCTTTTATCCATTTTATAGATGAGGAGATAGATGATATAGATAATAGATAGGTAGATAGATGATAGACTAATAAGCAGAGATGAGTATATAGATGATATAGATATAGGTAGATAGTAGACTGATAGAGATAGGTGAATAGATGGATAAATAGATAGATAATATAGATAATGGATGTTTCCTCATATGTACCATGAGCTAGAGAAGGAAATGGCAAACCACTCCAGTATTTTTGCCAAGAATACCCCAAATGGGGTCATGAAGAGTTGGACATGACTGAAATGATTGAACAACAACAATAGATGATGGATAGGTAGATAGATGATAGACTGATAGAGATAGGTAAATAGATGGATGGATGGATAGTAGATAGATAAGCAGATAGAGTTATGTATTAAGTTCCTAATATGTGCTAAGTGCTAGGGCAGGCAAGATAATCTCTCCCTTCAAGGATAATACATTTGGATGGGGGAAGATGATTCTTAAAAGGGAAAGAGGAGCCAGAAAGGAGTGTGGGGGAACCTGATGTGGAGGGGAATGATGTGGAGGCATGGTTCCTGGAAAAATAAGGTAAAAGCTCACTTAAACTGAGCCCAGCTCCCAGGGGCAGTCCAACATTCCAAAATGGGGTGGGAGGAGAGATCTCCTAGTGTGACCATGCCTAAAGAATCCTTTATATAACATGTCTAACAAGTAATCAGCAAGTCCTTGCTTGAACACTTCCATTGACAGGGAACTCATTACTTTATGAGACATCCCACTGCACCTCTGGACAGCTCTAACCGGTGGGTAGCTTTTCCTCTGACATCATGTCTAAATATGTCTCTCTGCAGCATCCACCCCTGGCTCCTAGCTCTCCCTTCTGGAGCTGGATAGAGCAAGGCTCATTCCTATTCTCTGTGATAACTGTTCAATGCCTTCCCCTTCTTTTTCCTGTTTCTTTTTCTTTTAGCACTCAGGCCTCCAACAGCAAATACCCTATCGGTGAGTCTAGATAGAGAACTCCAAATGCACACTTTTCCTCTCCAGGAGAGGAGTGCTTAAGGTCCAGACTTTCTCATGGACCAGCCACCTCCCTGCACCAAGGGGAATGCAAATGAGCGTAGAACTAGCATTGGGGTGGCATGGTTCCTGGAAAGAGAAGGTAAAAGCTCACTTAAACTGAGCCCAGCTCCCCTTATATTGCCAAGATTTTATAATTAAGTGTGATTCCTGAGTCAGGAGGCCTAGATTCTAGATTCTGGACCCAAGTTGGATATATGACCTTGGGTAAGTCCAATACCTTCTTGGGGCTCCAGTTTCCTCACCAATGAAATGAGAGATTGGACTGACCTGGTGTTTCTCAAACTGTCCTGCATGTTCGAGGGGTTCTCCAAACAAAAATGCTGTGACAGTGGACTAGAATACCTGCTTTGCTGCATATGATGGCTTCATTTAGTGTATACATTAAATGGATGCAGAGAAAACATTCATTAGCATCAGTCACATGACCAGGACCCTGCCTCCTCACTGATCTAGAATCATGCTGCTGATCTCTAAGAACCTCCTTACTGCCACCTTTGAATCCCACATGACCCCATCCCCCACACCATTCCCCCAGTCCTGTTCCCTGCTCCACTAATAATATTAATAATCAATGAGCTGTGACTTTCTTGTTGTAGAAGGAGCTCTGAGTTTGAAGTCAGAGATCTTGGGTCCAAATCTTGGCTCTTTTGAACACTAACCTATGTGACCTTGGGCAAGATCTCTTCCCTTCACTGGGCCTTAGTTTCCCCTGGGTAAAATGAAGGGATTGAATGAGAAGACTTCCGAGGTCCTTTCTAGATCTAAATCTTATGACTTAAAAAGATTTCCTTCACAAGAAAAGTACGTGGCCAAGGTAGCTTAAGGATTTCATCCTACGTTCACTGGAAAGAAAAAAAAATAGGGATGCAGCTAGGTGGCATGGTGGAGAGAATGCTGTATTTAAAGTCAAGAAGTTCTGAGTATGAATCCTGACTGTATGACTCTGGACAAGTCACTTAACCTCTGCTCAGTTTCTTCATCTATAAAATGGGGATAATAATGATAGCACCTATTTCACAGAGTTGCTGCAAAGCTCAAATGAGAAAATGTATGTAAAGAGCTTTGTGAATCTTAAAGTGATGTATAAATGCTAGCTATTAGTAAAATATGTCACACTGATAGGGGATATATGGGAACAGAATCTGGGCTTAGATAATTCAAATGCAGTGGATAGTAAGACAAAAAGTCCTTTTTTTAAAAAAAACCATCATATGGTATGTAAATGTGAAATCCTTTAATATGGGGCCCAGAGATGACATAATCATGGAGGTTTGTCTACTAGCAAAACTAGATTACAGATTAGATTCTATGCCAGGACCACGGAGCAGCGATATTTGGATTACCCGTTTTTCCTGGATCTGGCTTTTCCATGCACCTGGTAACTATGGTAACTCTTCAGGCCTCCAGCAGCTCAGTTCAGTAGTTAGAGCTAAGATCAAATGAGCCAAAGGTTGGGGACTTAACTGTGTACAAGCCACTGAGCAATATTATGTCCCTAGCCCTGGACACAGGCTGACCCCTACCCACAACCACAGACTGACCATCAGTCCTGACCTCTATTTCTGCTCATAGACTGCCTGCTACCCCTGTTCAAAGAATGACAACTAATTCTATCTGTAAACCTACCATTCATCCTGGACATAAACTGATCCCTGTCCTGACTATAGACTGACCCTTGACCTCAGTCACACTGACCCCAAATGACCACTACAGAGTGACTCTTGACCTTGGCTTTAGCATCTAACCCAGACCCTACCCTGACCCCAGCCCCTCGTTACCACCAGAACCCTATCCCTGTCCTGAGTGAAAGAATATGGAGAGCTCAGTAACTCAGTGCTGCCAATCCGTATTTTTAGGAAA